CGTATCTCACCTCTCACCTCACCATCACACGCCAGTCCGTTTGTTTCCAGTCCATTCATTCTTAGTCCGTGATTTCTACTGACAAACTAGTGATATAAACCGTGATTTGTCRTTAAAATATTTTATGTTTCAGTTTCATATCAATAAAGTTATTAAAAATATTGTTTAAAACTGGTTAGGAAAAGCAGTGAGCACATGCATGATACGTGTGTTTAGTTCCTGATTTCTGTTCGTTATTAATGAATCTGATTAAATAAAATATAAACAATTATTAATATTGTATTCCCCAATTACATACTTTGTTCAAAATTTAAAAGTATGGTATATTTTATAACTAGAATGGTGAACACATGTATAAGACACCTGACCAATACTGACTAACTATGGTATAGTTAGTTGTTGCTTTATTATATATATATATATATATATCAAAATCATCTACCTGCAGACTATAATTAGGTATTCTTAGTATTTACTTGCGAAATATTGAATAATAATAAAAAAAATATATTAGTATAAAATATTAGATTTATTTATTCTGTTGTGGTAAATAGTTTCAACGCGTCTGTTGAAATTGTTGTCCATTTGGTAACAATTATAATAAACCATAATTCTTTCAAATACTGATTTGATTACTTATATTATACTTTTACCATTGTTTTATAGATAGTRCTCACATAAAATAGGTAAGAAAAAAAAAATATCTTCACAAAATGTGATGTACTTATAAATAAGTGTATATGATATACTAAATAAGAATTATTTAATTATAATTTATGCATGAAGGCGGAAAACCCCGTCCATTGACTTGATTTCAATTGTTTTATGAACACCTATAATTCAGAGTTTTAACATTATTATCATACATATTTTTTGTTGRACGTGAAATTGCTTGAATAAATTATACATTTATGATTCATAAAGTTATCTAAATTAAATTACCTGACTTTATTATCTGATGTGTATTAAATTAAATGTAAAATGTATAATATAGAGGAAAAAAGATATTCATGCTATTTAACTTCAAATTAATATAGGTAAATACAATTTGTATAATTTGTAAATTGTATTGTTGTTAAGCATTTTAGTGAATTTAAGCAAATACAAATATCAATATTAACTTACTGCCAACTAAAAAATATAGYATAGACATACGAGTACAACTATACAAGTATAACTACTACTATTGTTTATTTAACAGAATATTATTTCTAAGAATGGGATATTTCATAGTATATTTATTGTATTCACAATTAACTTTTATTTGCTATCTGCTTAGTTATTTTACGTATACATTACGCAGTTAGGAGTGTAAACATATTCGTGATTTATTTGTATTAATTACAATAGAATATTTGTATTTACAAGCATGATAGACAAGTTACTATATAAATATTACGTGTTAAATGATAAATGAATAAGACTTTCCTTTGTAATACTCTACCGCTATTCGGTCTACGATTTATGAGTGAATTAATATTTTATTCTTGTTTCATAGCTTACTCATCATGGTTTTGCTATCACTTACCATAATCGCAACAATCTTCGATTACATAGTTTATTCTGAACGAACAATATGGCAATGGAATCAAGGTATGTTAACCATTGTATTCATTTGTCATTAATAGTAAAATATAACAAAACACATATCAATTTTAATTTAAAACCTATACCAAAAATGGTCCAGAATAGATATCTGTGGATCGTAATAATATATTGAATCAATAAATATTATACTTCAACGTTTTTACAACCAATTTTGATACAATTTTTCAGAATCAAAATCTGCGGATTTGATTATGTGTTTCTCCGGCAGACGTGCTATGCAAAGTTTAAAAAATAAAAATTGCGTAGTCCGAGGATTAGATCTTACCCCATTATGTGGAACTACAACTATATCAATGATTCTTATCATAATTGGCCACAGATGGGGTTTCCGATTACCCGGACCTTTACAAAACTACGAAGTCAATGAACAGGTACGCATTGAAATATTTTTGCAACAATAATACAGTTTTACATATAGATATTACATACCTGTTATAATATTTTTTTATAACAATTGTCAGGTGTTCTACGATTATTTCATTTCGATATTCACCTCTCATATGGACTTATTGGTGGACACATTTTTTGCCATAAGTGGAGCTTTAATGATCTTAATCCTACTCGATCGCCTTGAAACTTCGTTCATTAATCCATTTAAAGTATTAGTGTTTAAATATTTCAGGTGATTTTCAGAAATATTTATAATTTAAGTTACCACGCAATATGAAATATGATTGTTTTATTCCGAATCATAAATTTAAGTAATCGTTTTGTTCCGGTGTTTAGATTAACGCCTGTTTATGCAGTGATAATTTTCTTTTTTGCTACCCTTCAGTACAAAATGGGATCCGGTCCTCTTTGGGAATCTTTTATTGGAACAGATAAAAAAAATTGTCAACAAACGTGGTGGTTAAGCTTGTTGTACTTGAACAATTACGTCGCAACCGATAAAATGGTATGTAAATATGTGATGTACTATACAATACACTGGTAACTATATATATTATGTATTATATTATTTTATTAAATTTAAACTCAATTTTTGACTCAGTGTGGATATCATACATGGTTYATGCCTTGTGAATTTCACTTCACAATAATTGGTATTGGACTAGGGTATATACTKCATAAAAAGCCTAAAATCGGAATGTATTTAACTTCCTTACTTATGGCTATTTCTATTGCTATACCATTTGCACTCACCTATATTGGACAGAAATCAGCAAATATTCAATTCAACATGGAGTAAGTATAATCAAACATTTTTTTCACTTCTAATGCTTTTCTATTTTTAAGTTTTGTATTTTTTGTATTAGTAATTTCATAGTTGAAAAATGATTAATGWTAATTATGTACATATCGATTTCAAAAATAWTTTTTTATTTGAATATTAAAATGTATTATTAATGAACATCTGTAATTAGAAACTGTRTACTAACAACTAGTTACATTAGGTACACTATTTAAAGGTTTTCAAATACCTAATAGTTTTCAATGAATAATAACTTTCATAACCGGTTTCAAAGAAATATCTGAAGATTATATACTTATTAAGTATAATGTATATTGTATAAAATTAAAAAATCAATCTAAATAACATTTTGAGTTTAAATTTAACAGTATTAATGTTTTGTCTGWATGARTATACAACGTATTGGTAATTTAAAATGTCTATGCTTACAGTGGAGATATTATACTAAAAGAGACCACATAATAAAATATTGTGGTAGCATGCCTGGGTAATAGTTAGATGCAAATATTCAATACCTAACGACTAACATATTATCATGTAATTAGGTTTATTTAAATAATCTTTTGTGTATACGTTATCATACACTAGGCGTGGCTCGTTTCACCCAAAATCGGTCTTTCGTTTCGACCAAAGGCATTTCAGTCTTTTTAAAATATTATGTTTGTTAATTCATTTTAAAAATGATATAATAATAATWATWATTATTATTWTTTTTTTAGCATTATAGACCATTAGGCCCTTTTCTATCTATACTAAATTATAAAAAGTCGTCACAAAATACAAAGTATTATTTTTTAAATTTTTACAGATGCTTTTTATAAATTCAAAACTAGTGATTTTAGTAATAATATAAATTTTTTAATTTAGTATTATTATCTACTAAAAACACT